CTAAGAACAAACGATTCGCACTAGGAGTAAAAATAAGAGACAACAAGGTATTACTATTACAACAATAAGGTGAAGGAAAGTTAAATATGACTAAACTTTAGGCTTAGACTTGTTACGCTTACAAAGCTTGAGCTCAGTAGGCTCAAGCTCAGTAGACTAGCACTTAGTAAGTTTAGGTTTACGACGTAGGCTTGGAAGGCTTAAGATTATTGAAATCAACTAGTTTATAACAAAAAAGCCTTGCTGAGCTCATAAAACTTATTATTACGTGCTAACATCTTGAGGACAAACGGATTAAAATCCCATCACTCGCAGTAATTTGTTGGGTCGTTTTAGATCTTAGATCGAGGCAAGTATTGAATAATCTTACAATATTACGTTAGAAAATGTTGCGTAACCTAATTTTTTGCAATTTCTCTAAGGCTATGTTGTTGTATCATCAATATTAGATCATGCCGTAAGATTTTTATTAACATGAGGTTTTGTGATATACCTATTTGCATAAGATATACAGTGGAACTCCTGGATAACGAATCGTGCGGGGCTTGAGATTTGTTCGTTATAAAGAGTTTTGTTATACAGGAGTTTTAAATGCACTGTGTAGTGGCAAACGGGGATTTAAAAGTTGTTTGTTATACGGAGGTTTCGTTATATATAAGTTCCTTATACGGAGATTCCACTGTATATCTATTTGCATAAGATATACAGTGAAACTCCTATATAACGAATCGCGCGGGGAATTGAGATTTGTTCGTTATAAAGGAGCTCCGTTATACAAACTTTCCACTATTTGTCAAAGCTGAGGTACCTCGGACTAAAACTGGGACTAGAGATAGTGCCATTGCCAGAACTAAAGCCATCTTTACGCTAAGAAGTAAAACAAAACCGTAACAACATTCGAATCAAAGATTAGTACGATGAACCGTATCCTGTCCCCAATTCCGCATTAATAGTTGAAAAGCCCAAACGTAATCATTAATTGCAAATGAAGGCACGTCAAAATAAATCTACGCGTTTTATTGCAAATTTAATAACTTTGCGCATGCGTTGCCTAGTAATCAGAATCGTTGATTCGCGGTGACGTTGCAACGTGACTCTTCGCAGACAAGGTGGAACGTCGCACTTTTTGTCACAATAATCAAATATTTGGGATTTTAACGTGCTATGTATCGTAAATAAAGGTACGGAATGAGAGTGCAATGATGAGCAGAGACGACCTACTGGTTCCAACATTACTTTAAAAAAGATACAATCTACTGGTTCCGAGGTATCTAAGTAAATATTTTAAATTCTCTTTGTAACGTCAAAACAAGGGCAGATCCGTTGGCGTTTATCTGAACCTTAAACATCCTTGAACTCATAATCAGCATAGTACCTTACAATCTACGGCATCAAAATCATCAACTAATCTAATCTATATTTTCCAAAATTGTAATTGTAGACGCTTGAAGAATGTACTTTAAACTTCGTCACATGGTATCAACTGAGTTTCAGTAGAACCTTTGTAGAAGAGATTCCTGTATAGCGAAAAACCTTAGAATCTTAAGCTAACGCTACAGAACGCATTTAAAACTCCTGTATAACAAAACTTCTTGATAACGAACAAGTTTTCAATCTCCTAGCGACTTGTTATACAGAGGTTTCACTGTATTATAACATGTAACAGTTTTGTTATAATGGTGATATACCAACAACAGTGGCACATGTCATACTATAATTAGTATAACATGTATTACACCAGTAGTATAATATGTATCAATCGTATTGTTGTTACATGGTACTACTGTTTATGATAATTATACATTTAGTATGCTAACATCATTATGAAAAACTCAAAAGTTAAAAATACTCAAAAATTCAGCTCAACATGTCATTCTCTGCAGAATTAATATTTTAGGAACTAACTAACTTTCGATTCTACGTCAAAAAGATACGCAATAGAGTACTGTAACTACGTGTCATACGGTGTTTTTTTTAAAACTTTTTTGTTTTGTACAAAAGTGTTTTTAACAAATGTCACAGACGGTGGTAATTATAGTTGTACAGTAATAAAGCGGGAAATGTCAAAAACAGCAAACACTACAGTAAAGGTACTCTAATAAAGCTGAAAAGTAAGAAAGGAAACCCTACCCTACCCTACCTTACCCTACCCTACTCTACCCTATCCTATCCTACCCTACATACTTTGCTTATAATAAGTCAAAGAGTAGAAAGTAAGAGTGCATATTAAAATTTAAAAATGTGTTTTAAACCCACAAAATTGTTATCTTTGAAAAGCAAAATTAAAAAAAAATATTTTCATATTTTGATAAAAAGAGGTCGTCAGATAAAGAGACAAACATTGACCATTCGGTTCCTTTGGTCAATGTTATTTTATCTACAAAACTACATAATGTTAAAGTGTTATCTATCTTTCAGTTATGATATGTAAGCTTGAAAGAGGGGGGTGGGAGTGCACACGGCCCGGCCCGGCCCCTTTTCAGGTCTGGTAGTATATTTTTCAAACGTCACTCTTTTACATTATTTCCTTACCATTAACCGCAGAAACTGACCGTATTTTACAACTGAAAGGAGGGGGGGGGGGTGTATGTAAAAACGACTTTACTTTACCCTACTTCCTTATTACCATGTATTTTTAACCATTTACAGCGACTTCCACGTTTCTTAATATCTTAATGCTATGAAACAATTTACAATTGGGTTATCTTTTTGTACGACTACAAAGAAAATATTAAGGCATTACTTTTAAAGATGTCACGGGTTATCAAAAGTGATGAAAAAATAGGACGCAATTTGCAAAAAAAAGTTTTTTTAAAATAATAGTTGCTTTACTACAGTACTAATCGAAACTTTTCTTAGTACCGGGCAGGTAGACATAAGAAAAGGACCAAAGTTGACCCAAATTTAGGTCGGACCGGACCTGAGAAAAAAAATTTTTTTTTGGCCGGGTCTAACATTCAAGCTTGGACCAGCCCGTTCCTCATGTCTACAGGCCGGAAGGGGGGAGGGGGGGGGAAGAAGAAAAAAAAGAGGGGTTGAGAAGAAAAGAAGAGGAGGGAGAAGAAAAGGAGAGGGGGGGGGGGGGGAGAGAAGAAAAGAACAGGGGCGGGAGTTGGACCGGTAGGGAAGAAAAAAAAGGGATACGGAAAGGGGTAGTGAACGGAGAGGAAATAGGGGAGTACTAACTAGTAAGCAAGTCCTTTTTGGTGCCAAGTAGGTAAGGAAGGAGAGTGGACGAGCAGAGGAGACAAAGGGAGAGTAAACCTTTCACCTGAGTGCCTTGTTAAATAAACCCCCCCCCTCCACCTCCTTCTCCTCTTCTACTCTCCTCCCCCCCCCCGACCGAAATAACCCGCCCGTCATTGCCTATGCCCAGCCCATCCCTTTTACCAAAAAATGAAAACTTTTTCCACATGTTTTTTGTCCACTACAAAGTTAATCCGAAGTTTCAGCGAAGCCGTTTATCCTTAAGCGATCCCTAACTAATTTTGATAGGAAATGAGTTTAAACTAATTTAAATAAAACTCGATTTACAGTTAGAAACAAGCCGAATCCCATCGGTTTAAGGGGAGAGCAAGTGGTTCAATATGGGCGTGACATCCTATTCCGAACCTTGATAACATTGCTTTTTGAACCGTTTATTTGATAAGCGAGGACGGGTGCTTAAGTGGGGGGGGAGAGGAAGAGTTATGATATGAGTTAGGAGGAGGTATGGGAGAAAAAAATAGGGGGGGGAGAGTGTTAAAATAGGGCAGGAAAACTAAGAAAGAGGTAAGGGAAGGGACAAAGAAAGGAGGGGGAAAGCACAAAGGGAAAAGGAAAGTGGGGGGGGCGGGGATAGACGAAAAAAAGAGAAGGGGGAAGGGGAGGGTAAAGTAGAGGACTGTAAACTAAGGTAGGGGAAGGAGGATGAGTTAGGGGCATAAAAAGAACAGCCCTTAATATTTTTTAAATTAAAACAACCCCCCCCTCCCCCCCCTTTTCGCGCAGCACGGATATATTCTATTCTTATTCAACCCTACGCAACCCTACCAAAAAAAATTTTTTATTCGTTAAAAAGGCCTCCCCTCTCTCACAACACTTACTTACTCTCTCCTCTTTTTCACTAACTCCTCCAACCCCGTCCACCTCCCCTCCCTTCCTCCCCCCCCCTGACTTTCACTCCTTACCCAAACCTGTTCAATTCACCAACTGTTGTTCAATTCCGGCAACGGGCAGGAAAACCCTTTTCCAAAACGCTTCTTCTCTATTGTACAAAAAACCATCGAAAAGTTGTTTATCAAACTGTTATCAGGCTCTCCGACACAGCGCTACATAGATAATAAAAAGTGGTGTTTGAAGAGACTTATGCAAATATCGAGAAAAAGAGGGCTCAAAATGCAAAAACTATATTGACCTTGAACGATTTTCAAGTTATTTTTTAAAATAGCACGATATTTGAACATCTGACGTAGTATAATCGAGCTAAGTACATTAGTAACTGAACTCTTCGTACTTTAAACTCTAAAACAACAACGTCTAACATACATAAATTCATAACCTTTAAGCTAAACATGATTAAAAAACTCCTTTTTATAACCTTTTTGAAGGCAATCTTTAGAAATACAGGACACTGTAATTTTTCTCTGCACAGTGCAACACTTCTTTTAAATTGCACGGTGCAGTTATTTTTAAAACTTTTTTGTTACATTACTTCTCGACCAATAAACTTGAAACTTGTTAGTAGCTTTATATTAACACTACCTATGTGTTCCAATAACAGTTATACCTAAAATTAATAAAAAGTTGAAATAAATAAAAATAAAACTTGTTGCACGGTGCAAAGAAATATAGTGCCCGCACAGTGCAATGAAATTACTGATTTTTTGTAAAATATAATATAAACAAAATTTACAAAAAAACGGCAAAAATTTCTTTACAAAACAAAACTGACAATATCTTCCTTTACAAAACAAAAAATGACAAGAATTTTCTTTCCAACACTGAAAAATAATAAAAATTTATGTGCCTTCCGTTTGAGGTAACAACAAGTTGTAATAATCAGATTTCTTCCAAAAATCGCCGTTCTTCCATGAGCACCAGCCTCCATTAGTTACTGTTGATATGTTTTCATCTCCAGTATAATGAGGATCTAAGACTAGGTATTTGCATTCACCAGTTCTAGTGTTATAATCTACACCTAGAATCGTGTGAGCTAGCATACCACCGCCTAAAAAAAAGGTCGAAATTGCAAGAACTTTCTTTACAAAGTAAAAAATCGCAAAAACTTTCTTTACCAACAAACAAAAAAGTTTAGCTTTGGTTTTTTGATAGAATACGTATAACTTGTCACCCGCAGGCTGCGAACCATAAAATTTTTTACGTTCTTCGTTAAAACTGTAACATTTTTTCACCGAATAGAAAAATAACAGCTAATAAAAATTTTATTTCATTATTCCCTTACCAATCATCACCGGAGCACCATGATTTTCGAAATGATATATCAATGTTCTAGCATGTTCATGAACTTCAGCACCAGAATTGGTTGTCAACAACTTTGATTCCATGCCCAACATCTGATTCAAACAAAAACTCAACTCCATGGAGCCAATCCACTGCTTTGAACCAACAAAACTGGCTGGTTTGTCGCCGACTTCCACCAAGCACTAAAATATATTGCTTTAGGTATTAAACAGCTATTTTTGTTTTGTAAAGAAAGTTATTGCCATTTTTCTGCTTGTAAAGAAAGTTCTTGCCATTCTTCGGTTTGTAGAGAAAGTTTTAGCCATTTTATGTTTTGTAAAGAAAGTTATTGCCATTTTTTATTCTATAAAGAAAGAAATTTCTTGAAATTTTTTATTTTTGTAAAAAAAGTTCTTGCAATTTCGTAAAATAAAATCAAAATTTAAAAAAACCCTCCACTAACCTCTTGAATATCCTTATGACTAGGTATAGGCTTATCCGTAAAGCCTTGATACCTCAACCAAGAGAACACTGTCTGGAACGATCTGTAAGCACAGCCCCATCCACCATCGTCAACATTGTCTTGCATATAATGATGATAGTCATAATGTCCCAAAACTGTCGCAACTTGGCCAATTGGACTAGCTAAAGGGCGAAAGTTAAGTAAAACAACAAAAAGATTGTTATTAACGCCATATTGGTCCTTAAACAATTATACAACCCTTACCTTTCACAAACTCATGCGGGTTAGCCAGTAGTCCGTTTTCTTGAGGTCTTGCTAGCCATTTTACATTCTTTGTCACTCCAAAATCGACCGTTTTTCGGTTCAGAACTCTAGCTATATTGACCTTGTCTTTATTTTCTTCTTTTGGCAATACCACAGAAATTGTTAAAGATACACCAGATAAATTGTAATGTAGCACTTCCACAGGAACCAAAGAAGCCTAAAAGATCAAATACATCAAGAAATTCAACTTACTTTGGCAGATACAACATCAACAATTTGTGATAACAACCTTTTGGCTTCTTCCTTGAATAAATTGACCAAATCTCCATCAGAGACATCGTTGTTTACCCGTAAAATAACGTTAGGAGTATAAGTGATGTTTGAGGATGCATTTAAACCTAAAATAATACCAGTTTAGTCCCTTCATTCAGGGAAAAATACCTAAACCATCAAAACAAATAAAGACTTACCTGCTTTTTCAAATTGCTTAGCCAGGTTATCAATATTGCTTTCATCTAACTGAAGCTCAAAAACTCTTAAAGCTACAACTTCCTTTTTCTGGTCTTTCACCTTCAATGAAGTTGATTTAGCATCACTTTTCAAGCTCAAACCATCTCCAACAAAACTCACATCGTTCAAACCATTAAGTACTTCTTCAACTTGACCGGCCACAGTTTCTCTAACATCTTTTCCATCAAACAAACTTAACTTAACATCAAAATTCACTTTCAAAAGTGTATCTTCAGCCGGAACAGATAAAGCATCTGAATGTTTTACACTAACCAATCGTTGAGCTAACTTTTGTGCGGTAATGTTCTTTAACAAACTCCATGCAAATTTTAATCCGCTAAATGCAGGAATATCGCCTGTGGCTGTTTCTCCACCAAGCAGTTCCACTGGAGCCAAGTACAAGTTCTTCAATGTTGAGGATGCTTTCAAAATAGCTTCTGGGGACTTTTCCACAAAATTCACAGAAGTTATCACTTTCTTAGATGGAATTCCAAAAGCTAACCATGTTAAAGACTCTGTTCCCAAGGTTTCTACAGCATTTTTGTAGTTCTATAAAAGATAGACTTAAAACAAGGTTAAAAAGCAGTAACAAAGCTGAACTTTTCAAAATTTATGTTTTCAATACGTTAACAAGAGCAAAATCCACCATAAATAAAATTTTCAGGTAGTCATCTATCTTCTGCATAATTCTATAATGAAAACCAGTCCAGCAAGCTACCTAAAAACCAACAAAAAAGTCAAAAACTTACGTCCAAGAACAACTTGGCATTATACTCCCATTTAGACATGGTAAAGACGTAAAAACGTACTATAAATGACTAGAAAATAAATATATTATCCTATAATAAATTAGCAACAGCAACAAAATAACACTTGGAAGACTTTTCGTCGGAAAAAAGACCGTTTTCCGATAACCTTGTGGCATTTCGTTTGTTGAAGAATAGTGACACTTAATTTATTTATAAAACGAAATATATTTCTTAAATTACGAAATCTTTAACGCAGGGTAGTTTACTAACAAATTTTCTACTCATAAACCCTGTTTTAAGGCTCATATTGACTTTGAAAAGACTAATTTTTGTGTTTATCAAGGTTAATATCTAGTGTTTTAAGTTTCTTGAAGATTGAAGCATAACTATCGTTAATTCGTTGCAATTTTTAATCCTGAATTTAAAGCTATTTCTATTTATAGCTGTATTTATTCAAAATCAGTATGAATTACACTCAATGTCCAGCTAGGGACGATATTGAGGATGAAGAGGAGCTCAAGAAACATGATAATGAGGGCTGTGTCATTTGTATGGGTATGGAAGATTCTGACGAAGAAGAGAAACCAGGTGGGTAATACAGGAATACATATTTTTTGGTTTTTGTTTGGTTTAGTATGGAAGAAATTTTTATAGTTTTGGTTTATATTATTATAGGTGAAACTTGCTCTCGGGCTCGTATTTTTGGTGTTTTGATGCAATTTGTTAAGAAACTAGCAAGAATAGATAACAAACTTTATTTTGAAGCTGTAAAATTTTTAAAAAATTAAAGTTTAAATGTTTTAGGACCATCAGTAGCTCCAGAGCCAGAAGAAACCAAGCCATTACCTGAAAGTCGAAAAAGAAAGCCGGAGGTTGACGATGGGCTTTTGGAATTGCCGCACAAGAAGGCCTTACATATGTTGAAGAAGACTGAAGGATTGTCAAAGTACGTTTTTATTGTTTTTGTTTGATTTTTAGGTATGAATTATGTTGTTGTAGAAGTGGAGGAATTTAGACTGATTTTTGGTTGTAAAATGATCTTTTGGGCATTTTAAAATGCGCAAAGTGTTATTTTTAATGTCTGAAATGTTAAATTATTGTTTAGATATCTACAAGGCTGAAAAATAGTGTTTTATATAGCAGAAATGACGAAAAATAGTGTGGTAGGTGTCTAAATTGCTAAAAATCTTGTTTTTTTTGGCAGTTTAAACGCTATATTTTGTATTTTTTTATGAGTTGGATATCCAAACAGCTAGTTTTAATCATATCCTTTATTTCCAGACCAGCAGCAGCCCTAAAACTTCTCGAAAAGCGTCGTGAAGTAGTGTTAACCGACAAAAATAAGCCAGAACCTTCAAAAGTCGAAGTATTAGCCAGAGATATGCCATTTGCCCCAATTTACGTTCCATTACCTAAAGACGAACATGGTCGATTCAGGAATTCGGCTTTGTCAGTGGAAGATCATCGAAGATACGTGGCTATAATAACTAATAACTTGAAGCCAGAGAGTGCTGCCAGGTTTCAAACGAATAATCTCGAGTTGAAGGGGTATGATGAACAGTTATTTGAGGAGAGAAACTACTTTTATAATCTGGCAATGGAGTGGGCAAACAATATGAAAGGGCATCCATATGCGTATGAGTCTAATGGCAGTAGGGCCTTCTTTTTGGTAGGTTTTGGCTGTTTAACTATGATTTTTAGAAAGTTTGTTACCTAAATTTCGTTTTTGGCTAAGTTGTTTCCTAAAAATTATAATTTGGTCAAGTTGTTACCTAAAATTTATTTTTTGAGTCACAATGATATTTCATCTTAAGTTTTTGGTCAATTTGTTCAAACTAAAACAATTTTTTCAGAAAAAACAAAAACACCGTTTCGAAGCCATCGATGACCTGAAGTTTGGCCAATGTATCAAGGCTTTAGATTGGGTTTCCAAGCCCAAAACAGAATCAGCCCAACTGTTGCGGCCGAAGATTGTTCAAACTATAAACGAAGGCAAGATTCCAAATGTCAGGATTCCAGATCCAAGACGGAAATGCTTTATCTCAGCCAATGCTAGTCAAATCGACAAGAAATTCGAAAATGAAAAAACAGAAAAAATTGAAATCGAAAAAGATGACATTGCAAAAGATTTGGCATTTCAAAAGAACCTGGATATTATCATGGATGGCTGCACGGTGCGAACGTTGATGACCGACCCATATGTGTTTAGGAATCAACAATACGGGTTTAAGGTGGAGGTGAATAGGAAAGCGCATCAAGGTAGGTAAAGTTTTTTTTTGTGTTGAAGTTTAGGTATCAAATTGAATTTGGCATAAAGATGCATTTATGACTTGAAAATGCATGTTCAGGCGAAAAAACGCATTTACAGGCTTAAAAGTGCACTTTCAGGATTAAAAATGCAGCTTTCTTCCTTAAAAAATTAATCATTAGTCTTAAAAATGGTTCTTTGGGCTTGCAAAGGCATCTTTAGGTTTAAAATGCATTTTTAGTTCGAAGTTGCATCTTCAGGCTCAAAAAGGCATTTTTAGGCTTAAAAATGCATATTTAGGCTAATCAGTTTATCTTTAGGTTTAAAAATTCATATTTAGGTTTAAAATGCATCTTTAGGCTTAAAAATGCATGCAAGTTAAGTTTTTACATTTTTACAAACTTTCTTTACATAAAACCGCATTTTCAGGTCAATTTCGAAAGTTCATAACCGTATCCAAGCCCTTCTACACGGACAAACTCAACCCAATCACGGTGGAGCGACAGTACATCAAATGGGCACTAAAAGAGTCAATTCGGAACGAGCAGAAACGTGAAAAACACGTGAATAAACCGCATATAAAGGAACAGAAGATGGAAATTGACGAAAAATTGATAGAAGCTCGAAAAGTTGTGTCAGAAGTCAAGAATATGGATTCAGACATTAAGAATAAGGATTCAGAAGGCAAGAACAAGGATTCAGACGTAAAGAATAAGGATTCAGAAGTTAAGAACCAGGATTCAGATGTTAAGAACAAGGATTCACAAGATAAAAGTAAAGATTCAGAAACCAAAAATGACAAAATCAAGATGGAAACGTTGCATATTGAGGATGATCGCCCGATTCCACAGAATTATGTACCCTTCAAACGACGAACGACTAAGAAAAAGGAAATTCAGCCTGAGGACATCAAGCAAGAAGAAAAGAATGGCACTGACAATCTATTGGACGACATTTTGGGATCCATGGGCGTGGATTGTGGTAAGGTTTTGGCTATAAGCTGTTGCACGGTGCAATGGAATGTTTTGATTGCACTGTGCAGTTTCACATACAAGGCTTTTTGAAAGTTGTGGCATTAGAAATGGCAGTATCTTTTTTTACAGAGTTAAAAATGGCAAAAACTTTCTTTACAAAACAAAAAATGACAAGAACTTTCTTTACAGAACGAAAAATGGCAAGAACTTTCTTTACAAAATTAGAATGACAAAAAATTTCTTTACAAAACAAAAAATATTAATTATTCAAATTATAAAAGCTTTCATTTTAGAAAAATCAGCTCCATCGATCAAGTCCAACTACCGGTACTCAGTCCTTCGAATTGGCGAAGACGTGAAGAGCCGGCTTTTAATCCGAACCAATAACCATGGCCGTGATCACGACGGAGAAGTAATGTCCCTAAGCATCAAGTCCGAGTACCTACCATCACTAGGAGCGGAAGTGATCCATGAAGAAGAGGAGATTGCCAACTTCATGACAACCTTACTCAAAGACAGCCAAAAACATCTTGTCTTCAGAGTCTACGCTCACAATAAGGCTGTCCTTCAAATCGAACGAAAAAAGCCGGCCAATATGTACTCACACTTTGAAGATAACACAAAACAGTTACTGTCACATCGATGTGAACGATTCACAGCGCTTCTGGAGTACTTGAAGACCTTGGAAGTGGGAAAGTATCTGTTTATAAAGAACAACAACGAAATGGAGGTTTTTAGCGAACAGTACGATGGAGAGTAGGTTGATTTGTTGCCTAAAAAATTATTTTTTTAAATTTTTTTACTCAAAAAGTCATTTCTTTAATGTTTATACTCAAAAATTATGGTTTCTCGAAATTTGTTACCTAAAAATATTTTTTTTTCGAAAATTGATTCAAAAAATTTTTTATTAAATTTGTTACTTAAATTTTTTTTTTGCATATTTATTACCTAAAAAATTTTTTTTGTTAGCAATTTTTTGTTACCTAAAAATAATTTTTTTGGAAATTGTTACTTAAAATTGTTTTTTTTTATTTGTTACTTAAAAATGATTTTTTGCAAAGTTTGATACCTAAGATATAATTTTTTCATAATTTATTACCTAAAAACTGATTTTTTCATGTTAAAAATATTTTTGTTTCTTTTATACTGTATTTTTTTAAAAATATTATAGATCTTTGAAATTTAAAAAATTTTGGGAGTGAGATCGGGCATCTTCATTATAAAGCTAAAAGCGACCTTTTTCTAATTTAAAAAATTTTTTTAATAATGCCATTTTAGACCAACCTACACGAGTGCCAAGATCTTCTACGAAGTGACCAAACGTTTGTTGCGATTACCCAGGAAACGCAAGAACAAATGGAGAAAACACCATGAAAATGGTGAACCACAATATGAAGAAAAGCATGATGAGGAGGAAAATGATGAAGAACATCATGATGATGAGGATGAACATTATGATGAGAATGAAAATGATGAAGGGCATAAGGATGAGGAAGAAAAGAATAAAGAACATGATGGTAAGGAGGAAAAGGGTATAGAACATGATGAAGAAGAAGGAAAGGATAAAGGGCGTAAGGATGAGAACGAAAAGCGTAAAGAAAATGATGATGATGAAGATAAACATAAAGAAGAAAAAGAAAATGATGGAGAACACAAAAATGGTCAAATAGAAGTTAAAATAGAAGTAGATGGTGATGAAACGGATTCACAAGGCTTTGTTATTGATGAGGATGATTCAGATGGTCGTAACGATGAAAATAAGGATTCAGAAGCTTGCAACGGTGAAGTCAGCGGTTCAGAAGGTCGTAACGATGAAAATAAGGATTCAGAAGGTTTCAACGCTGTCAAAAAGGAAACTGAAACCCCTCTAAAAACCGAAAACGGAAACTCAACTCCAACTGACGAAATAAGCCTTCTGATCAGCCAAATCGGCGCAGGCCTACCTCAACCTCAACCCAAAGCACCATCAGTATCGGAAGTCGAGAATCGCTTTGGAGACGCGAAGGTAATCTTACGAAAACCCTCAGTAACTCAAGAAGAACTGGAAAGAACCTCAAATCCTCATGAAATGCTGGGAAAACCTTCTGATCTATACCAAGGTATCAACGTCCGAATCCCGTTGGTATGGCAGATCGTACAGTCCAGAATCCCGGGTTCATTACCTCCTGCTAGGCCCATAAAACAGGCGAACTATAAGGGCAAGAACAAAGGGAAATGGAAGAATAAGAAGCCACAAAAAGCCGGTGACAACGACCTTTTTGGATCTCAGATATTGTAGTTACAGTATACTGCAGTAGAATTCTTGTATGACGAATACGGTAGCTCTTGTGGTTCTGTTTGATTATTTTAACACTACCTGTGTAAAGTAATGTTTATCTAGGTAATGCTGTCGATGTAACACTATTTTTTGCGTCAATAACCTGTGTTTGGCCATTAAAAAAGTTTTGTCGTCAATTTACACTCATTTGATTGTTGAAAAACGACACGACTTTTTTTTTAAATTAAATAGGGCATATTTTTATTGTTAATCTTGCTATGGGTATATTTTTTGTTTTTTCATCATGTTTGTAGGTAATAAATTGATTTTGTTTGATATTAATCTTGAAGGGTTTGTCTCGTTTTATGGATAATATTACCTCTATTTTAATACAAACTGGTATAGTTTAAAATTTTTTGTTTTTCGATTGTTTAGTTGTGAATAAATAGGTATAAAAATCTTTTTTGGTGTTATAAATGGCAATAATTTTGTTTTTATAAAGCTTAAAGCAAAATATATAATTGTTTGTTTGCACAGTGCAACGAATTTTTTGGATTGCACTGTGCAGAAATTGTTCAAAAAATGATTGTGCCATTTTTTAAAAGCTATGTGAATAAAATTAGTTTTAATGACTTTATATTGATGCACACGAACTATTATAATTATATATTGTATATGGGTTAGATTTAAAATGGCACAGTGAGAAAAACTAAATGTTTTGCACGGTGCAATATCTTTCCAAGTGAATGCTTATGAAATTTATTACGAAACATAAAATTACAATATTATAACTGGAACGTAATGTTTGTCGAAGCGGTTCATTATTCAAAATGTTACAGTAATCCACCTTACAAAAAAAGTTACAGTAACCGCTTCTTTTCAGAATGTTACCGTATCCCTCTTATTCAACTTGGTCGTGGCAAGCACAGGCCTGGCTGACGGATCCGCCCCAGGTGAGGATTTGAATACTGTCGACCAGGTTTAAGTAGAACTCGTTGGTGGTCCAGGTGGTGAGCACTTGGTACACGGACTGGTACCGTTCAACCAAAGTGGCACTGGTGTTGCTGGACACGACGTAGATTCTCTCCTTGTAAGCGGCGAATCGTTGGATTTCGGTCGAGTTCCATGATTCTTGGGCTTCGGTGATGGAGGTGAGGAGGTCGGTGGTGTTGGCGCTGAAGTCGTTGATCTCGGTGACATCTGAGCATGAAGCTCCGGCGCTGGAGGATTCGACGGTGGTGGAGCCTCCAATGTTTTCGAAGCTGATGCCGAGGTTGACTTCCTGAAATTGCGGGATTACTGTGGGGATACTATATAGTACTATAAGTCCAGTATTTTGTCATATTGGTATGGTACTGTCACCTAAAATATCATACTTTGTAGTACTATATATTTTATATTGTACAATACTATATAGTATTATAGGTTCTGTATCATACTATATGATCAGTACTGTACTCTATAGTACAGTAAGTTCAGTATTTATGTCATATGTTACCTACAGTACCATTCTTTATAGTGCTATAAATTTTGATTTTGTACCGTACTATATAGTACTATAGGTGTATCGTACTATATGCTTTGTATCGTATTCTACAGTATTATAGAAACTGCATCGTATTCTATAGTACTATAAAAGCTGTACCGTACTCTATAGTACCATAAACTCCTATAATACTAGCCATACTCACCAGAACATAAGCGTAGATGAGCTCGTACAAGTCACCGTATCCACTGATCTCAAGGCTGTAGATGATCTCCACCGACCACTCCTGGATGATCAAGAACTGGTACAATTGGGTGTAGAAGTACTCGATGCGCACGCTGACCTCGGTGTTGGACTCGTAGTAGGTGGTCAACGTTTCGACCAACTCTTTGATCTGAGCACGTTCGCTGGTCGAGCCGATACTCTCGTTCTGATAGGCTTGAGTGAGTACTTGGATCAAGGCACAGTCGCTGGTGGATCCGCCTACGGCGATGTCAAAGTTGTAGGCGCGCCAGTAGAAGGCGGTGACCTCGTAGAAGGATGACACGCTACCGTAGCCCTCGATCTCGATGGCCAAGAACTGGGCACTGTACTGGGAGTAGGTGGTGAGGAAGGACTCGATCTTTTCGTAGATCAGGACCAGCTCGTATGAGTACGACCATCCGCCTTCCAGGATCACGGTGATCTCCTCGATCAGAGTCTCCACGTATGTAGCCAGCTCGCCAGAAGTCTGGTTGCGAAGAGCGTCGAAGAGCTCACAGTCTTCTGAAGCGTCCAACGTGATGATGGCTTCGGACACGCTGGAGTCGAACGACACTGACACGGCTTCCAAGTTTCTGACATAGCCTCCCCATTCCGAGATGTAGATGTAGTACACGATTTCTTCGATCTCGACGTGCACGGTGATGAAAGCTTCCAAACTGCTCCAGATGGCGCAAATCTTCTCTTCAGAAGTCAGGGATACGTCAAGCACGATGTTGTCGTTGACCTCCTCGATCCACTGAAGCCACAGGCTGTAGACGGCTTCACCCTTGAACTCCACGGCGATGTTGTAGAAGTACTTCAGGAGCAGACAGTACTTGTACGATACGTCTTCGCTGGAGCCGCTGCCTTCTTCGGAGCCGGAACCGGAGCCGGACTCTTCGAGGTCGCCGGAAGCTGTGGTGGATTCTTGGGATTCTTCGGAGCTGCTACCGCCTTCCAGAAGGCAGGCGTAATTCTTCTCCAGGTTCTTTTCGTCCGCGCAGAAGCTGCTGCCGGATGTGAATTGGGAGCTCACTGAAAATCAAGTTTGAGTTTGGTATGGTGCTGTACAATATATAGTACTATATAGTACGAGTAATTTATAGTATTATGTAGTACTATATTGTACGAATAATAGCTAGTACTATATAGTACAGTGATTTACGGTACAATAAATTAAAATTTGTTTACGATACTATACAGTATAAGTAGTTTACAGTACTATATAGTACAAGTGACTTTCAGTACTATATAGTACGAATGACACATAATGCTATATAGTAAAGGTAGTTTACAATACTATACAGTACAATTAGTTTATTGTAATACAAGTAATTTTAAGTACTATATAGTACGAGGAATATACAGTACTATATAGTACGAGTAATTTACAGTACTATGTAGTACTACATGGTAAAAGCATGTTACAGTATTATATACTACAAATAATTTCTAGTACTATAAAGCACAATTTCAGGCACAAAAAATAGTACTGTTAACAACTTACCCATGCCGCAAGCAGCCACACCAAGTACGAAAAGTAAGAGTTTTTGCATTTTGAACGGTTTACAATAGCTGTGAACACGAAGCAACGATGCCTAATATTATAGTAGGACCTACAAGTTTGGCTTCGGCTTCGAGGTCGAAGTGATACTGAACCAAGCCCTCCGGCTTCTATTTATACTCATTTTGGCCGGTGGCTTAGCTTGGTTTGTTAGACTACAGTTATGGAAACTCCGCCTTCTATAACTGTAGAACAGCGTAGACTACTAGCATATTATCCATGTTGTAGTAGGGCTTTTCTGCTTTTTAGCCAAAAATAAGCTTGTAGTTCAAAGTAAAGCTATGGAACCAGTCCAAAAGTTTTGTCCAAGCCTCTAACAGTGCTTTAGGGGCTAACAATGACAAGATTTTTGAAACTTTAGCTCAGCTAGCCAAATATGCTAATTTAGGTAACAAACCCAAGTTAATCTTTTGGCTGCCTATCACTATGTAATCCCAAATTCACCGCTATTTTTGGTCAGATTTGCATATTCTGCAACGGTTTAATCAGTTTCAAACTGTTTTGCGACACTTTAAGCCGAACGTGTTCAAGGACGCTGGTTCTACCGTGAATTCAACGAATTCACAGTGGATTTGAATCGTTAAACATAAAGTATGATCTGCCAGAATATTGAAACTTGAGTTTAGAGAGTCAAAAGTACACAGAAAGTTGGGAAAAACAGCGAAAACTTTCTTTACAAAGGCTCTATCGACGAATTTCGACCGAAAAAACTAGAATCAGAGACTTTTTCTCCGCTGTAAAGAATGTTCTTGCGTTTTTTTATACAAAAAATGTTGACAGAGGGTTTGTAAAGATCATGCACTATCTAAAAATATAAATTTCATTTTAAAAATCTTGCGAAAACTTTCTTTACAAGGGCTTTATCGACGAATTTTGGCCGAGAAAACTAGAATCAGAGACATTTTTGCGCTGTAAAGAAAGTTCTTGCACTTTTTATAAAACAAAGGTTGACAGAGGGTTAGTAAAGATAATACTCTATCTAAAAATATAAACTTTGATTACAAAAATCTTGCGGAAACTTTCTTTACAAGCCTTTATCGGCCAATTTTAGCCAAGAAAACTTGAAGCTGAGGCCTGTTTTTCGCTGTAAAAAAAGTCCTTGCGTTTCTAATGAAAAAAGTTTTTTACATAGGGTTAGTAAAGGTCATGCTCTATCTAAAAATATAAATTTCGATTTAAAAATGCTGCAAAAACTTTCTTTACAAGTCTTCATTGACCAATTCCAGTCAAAAAAAAACTTGGATTTGACATTTTTTGAGCTGTAAAGAAAGTTATTGCGTTTTATAAAAATTTTAGTTATTCGATAAAGTTAGTAAAAACCTTTTTCTATTAGAAATATAAATATTGATTTTAAAGTTTTGCAAAAACTTTCTTTACAAGCCATTTTCCCCACTTGCAGCCAAGCGGATTCGAACCGGTGATGTTTTTTTGCTCTGTAAACAAAGTTCTTGCATTTTTTATTAATAAAAATTTTTACGGATGGTTAGTAGAGAAAATAAGTTTTGCAAAAACTTTCTTTACAAACTATTTGCTTCGTTTCCATAAGACAAAACTGACATACTTTTTGGAGATTCTATAAAATGCGTCATCAAATACTTCTATTTTTAAAAATATGACATATGTTTGTTGTAGGTGTTTATGACATCAACTTGTTTTTCCAATCGTATTTCTTTATGCTTTCAATTTTTTTTTTCTGGTGTTCAATTACCGTTAACAGTTGGTCGAGGCACTTGAAGGTTGCTGAGTCATCCTTTAATTCTTGTAGTCGGCTCGAGATTAAACGAGCAAAAACTTAGCTTTAATGTTTTTTTACTTATTTTTTTTTAACTTTTAGGTAATATGGCAAGGATTTTCTTTACAAATTAAAAAATGGCAAAAACTTTCTTTACAATTTACAAATTGGCAAGAACTTTGTTACAAAACGTAAAATGGCGAAGACTTTTTTTACAAAACAAAAAATTGAAAGAACCTTCTTTCCAAAGCGAAAAATGACAAGAACTTTCTTTACAAGGCATAAAATGGCAAAAACTTTCCTTACAAGGCACAAATTTGCAAAAACTTTCTTTCCAACCGAAAAAATGACATTTTTAAATTGAAATTTAAAAACCTATATAAAGATCAATTTTACAGTACCCAAGAAGCCACAAGTCTAATCTTTTTTTACTTTTTGTGCTCGTATGTTGTAGTAGAACAGCTGCGGTTCACGTCATAAGATCAAGCGGATTTGGGGCGGTTCGAGGACTTTTTGACAAATGCGGTTTTTTCGAAATTTTGAGCTTTTTAAATTCCATATGTTCACTTTTAACTGGTTTTTGGTTTTCAGTGGATATGTGTTACCTAAACTTAAGGTGTAAAGAAAGTTCTTGCTTGTTGAACTAAGTTTAGCGGGAAAAATGGCGTGTAAACAAAATTTTTGCGGTTTTTTACAGTCAAATTTGATATTTTTGGATACAGTAGACTAGCCTTTGTACCTACTTTCTATAAAATTGAAAAAAACGCAAAAACTTTGTTTACAAAGACCAAAAGGTCCGTGGGAGTGCGCTTTCTTTGTTTTTCGCTTGTTTTTGGTTTGTAAAGAAAGTTATTGCAGTTTTTAAAAATTTTTAATTATACGTTTAGTTTGCGCTATATCTATACTATCGTTTTAGCTTTTTAGAATTTTTTGGAATGTGCAAAAACTTTGTTTACAGATTAAAAAGTGACCGCGGGTCTGTAGCTGTTTGGCTTCAAGTAAGCAAAAAAGTTCTGTAAAGAAAGTTTTTGCGGCTTTTTTAAATTTTAAATTGTCATTTTCGAATAAACCGGTTTTTACCTACGTTTTTACTACAATACATTTTTACGAAACACGACAAAAACTTTATTTACAAAGCAAAAAGTGACCGCGTGTCTGTAGTTGCTTTTCTGCAATTTATGAAAAAAACTTTGTAAGGAAAGTTTCTTCAATTTGTAAAATTTAAAAAAGCAGGTTTAGTCAAATCAGCACCTATGGTAACTTTATAGCAGCGTAAAAGTTTTCGAATTATGAAAAAACTTGTTTACAGAGCAAAAAGTAACCACCGGTCTGTGTCCGATAAGCTATGAGTAATCAAAAAAAGTTCTGTAAAGGAAGTTTTCGCGGTTTTTTAAATTTCTAATTGGGTTTCTTTAATACATGTGTCCTTCAGCTATGCTTTGACTACATTATACTTTAACAAAACACCGCAGGAACTTTCTTTACAAAGCTTTTTTGACCTTAAAGTGCACCCAATCCAGCCATTTTTTCAAATTCTTAAGTCATCCTTCACGAACCCCGCTTAACTTCCTAATTCCAAAGGTTGAAAAACATTCTGGAGTCGGTTTAGTGTTCCAGGGGTGTTAAAATTGGTGGAGTCATCGCAACAAAAATCGTCTAATCCGCTTTTCCGAAACGCCTCCGGGCGAATTTCGATCGAAGCGCGCGGACTTTTGATAAAGACATTTCTCTTCTTTTTGGTCAAACTTGTGGGTTATATTATGATAGACATGTTCTGGATATTATACTTGGTTAGTGGGTTGGTTTTGGCAGGGTTAAGGGGTGGGGAGTTCTATTTACAGATAGTTATGGCCAAATTTAGTGAAAAGTTGATTTTTAGCCAGTTTTTGTTCTGTAAAGAAAGTTTTTGCGGTTTTTTTCAAAAACGTGTTAGTAGCACAAGATTAGTAAAGGAATTTTCTGCCCAAAATTCTTTTTTTTATTTTAAAAATTCATGCAAAAACTTTCTTTACAAGCTTTTTTGGCCGTTGGATCCAAACAGCTCCAAACCCGCGTTTTTTACTTTGTAAAGAAAGTTTTTGCGGTTTTTTCATAAATGTTTCACTAAGATATCATCAGAAACGGTATCGTGCTATTAAAAATATAAATTGTTTTTAAAAATCCATGCAAAAACTTTCTTTACGAGCCTTTTTTGGCCGCTTGACTGAAGCAGCAATGTTTTGAACCGCGGCAATGTTTTGCTCTGTAAATAAAGTTCTTGCGTTTTTTTTAATTTTGGTTTTTTTTAAAAAGATAGTAAAAACCTTATTCTATTTAAAAATGAAAATTTTAATTTGAATTTTGCACAAAAACTTTGTTTACAACCCTTTTTTTCTTATTTGCAGCCACGCGGCTTCGAACCCTCGCCAAAGTTTTTTCAACTTAAGCAAAATAAATGGCAAGAACTTTCTTTACAAAACGAAAATTGTCATTCATCGTATAACATGTCACCCGCAGGTTGCAAAACAGAATTACTTGCTCTTTAGGAAGAAATGGCAAGAACTTTCTTTACAGTTCAAAAAATGGAATAACTTTCTTTACAACGCGAAAAATGGCAAGAACTTTCTTTACACTTCAAAAAATGGAAGAACTTTCTTTACAACGCGAAAAATGGCAAGAACTTTCTTTACAACGCGAAAAATGGCAAAAACTTTCTTTACGAAATAAAAAATGGCAAAAACTTTCTTTACAAAATAAAAAATGGCATTCTATACCCGAGTTTAATATTAGAATACCTAATTGTTTGTCTCTCACGGACAAACATAAATAGTTATAATAAGGTCCCACGTGACCCTAAAGATGCGTTTCTTTAACTGCGCGGTGTTTAGCCTCCGTTTGTCGCTCCAAATTACCTTTTCTTCTCCGTTTTCCGTGTTCGATTCGATTTTTTCGTCACAACGTTCTTCACCGTTCCTTAACAATATTATTTTCACAGTTTTTTTGACTTTGAAATTTAAAAATTGGGGTTGGAAAGAAAGTTTTTGTAATTTTTTTCTTTGGAAAGAAAGTTCTTGCTACTTTTTGCTTTGTAAAGAAAGTTCTTGCCATTTTTTGTTTTGTAAAGAAAGTTCTTGCCATTTTTTGCTTTGTAAAGAAAGTTCTTGCCATTTTTTGCTTCGTAAAGAAAGTTCTTGCCGCTTTAAGTGACGTAAAGAAAGTTTTTGCCATTTTTATAAAAGCCTAATTTTTTCAAAATTCGTATTTAAATTTAAATTTTGTAAACAAAGTTTTCACTTGTTTTTTAGCCATTTTAAAACTTTGTTTTTTCAATTTCGTAAAAATCTTGTTATGGCTTACTCACACAAATTTTTTACTTCAAGAAGTTAGGTTTTATAGTTGTGTCTAGCTCTAAAATCAAACTTAAATTTAGGCTTTGTAAAGAAAGTTCTTGTTATTTTTTGTTTTGTAAAGAAAGTTCTTGCTATTTTGTGTTTCGTAAAGAAAGTTCTTGCCATTTCTTGTTTTGTAAAGAAAGTTCTTGCCATTTTATGTTTTGTAAGGAAAGTTTTTGTTTTTTTTCGTTTTGTATAGAAGGTTCTTGCTCTTTTTTGTTTTGTAAAGAAAGTTCTTTTCATTTTTACTGAAAGAATTTTAATTTAGGAGTGGTGCAGGCTGCGGGTGACATGTTATACGATAAATGATATTTTGTGAATTGTAAAGAAAGTTTTTGCCATTTTTTCGCAGTTTCGCTATTCAACCACTTTTTTATGATAATATACTATCTATCATACTGTACTTTCAGAAATGATACCAAGGCGTTCACTGTGTCTTCTGCTCTTCCTCAATTTGATATTGTTATCAGAAGCAGCTCATAAGTGTGTTTGGGTGACTGGTGTCTTGAAATGTCGCAAAAACCCTCGAAACCATGCCAATGTTGAGGTCAGAGCTTATGACAAAGACGGAGTGTCAATTCTACAGGCAATTGATCCTGATGATATCATGGGGTAGGGTTACTGTAATTTTTATTGGGAAGGAGCTGAAGGTTGGGTGATTTAAAGTTGAGTAACGTCAGGCTGGGGTATGTTAAGGTTGGGGTAGGGAGAGAAAAAGCAATTTATGGTCGGGCAGGGTACGGTAGGACGAGTTAGAGTAAGGTAGATCAAGCTTGAGCAGAGTAGGGCAGCTAGGGCAAGATAAACAAGTTATGGCGGGGTAGGATGGGGCAGGGTAGGATAGGGTAGAGTAAGGTAGGGTAGGGTAGGGTAGGGTAGGGTAGGGTAGGGTAGGGTAGGGTAGGGTAGGGTAGGGTAGGGTAGGGTAGGGTAGGGTAGGGTAGGGTAGGGTAGGGTAGGGTAGGGTAGGGTAGGGTAGGGTAGGGTAGGGTAGGGTAGGGTAGGGTAGGGTAGGGTAGGGTAGGGTAGGGTAGGGTAGGGTAGGGTAGGGTAGGGTAGGGTAGGGCAGGGTGGGGTAGGATGCGATAGTGTAAAATACGGTAGATTGTCGTAGTATTTGTTTTTTAAATTTTCAGTGTGACCTTCACTGACGAAGACGGTACCTTCAAGCTCGACGGTTGTGGTGACGACTTTGACTGGATCCCAGGAGTACCAAACGTACCAGAGCCCTACCTTCAGATCCGCCACTTCTGTAACAGCGAGAAGGGCGAGACGATTCGTCTGCCAGAATTCGACGTCTTTGTGCCAGATACCTACGATGTGGGAATTCTGGAGCTGGATGAGACCGCCACGAGCACGGTGAATCCCAAGTTTCAGAAGTCGGATTCACCGCTGATTAAGATGGAGATCCCGGTGGAGTTGAATGATGACGATGACACGGTTGTCACTCAACCTGACAAGGCCATTCATATTGAATAATATTTTTTAAAAGTTTTTAAGAAATGGAAAAAAATTGTAGACCGGTCGATTTTTTAAGCCTAAATATGATTTTTTAATTTTTATTGTAAGTCTAAAGTTGATTTTGAAGCCTAAAAGGTAAATTTTATGCTTAAAGTGCTATTTGAAGTCTAAAACTGAGTTTTAAGTTTAAAAGTAGAATAATAAGCCTAAAAATTGAACTTTATTCTTAAAATTTAGAGTTTAAGCCTAACAACACATTTTAAGTCTAGAAAAGGAATTGTAAGCCTAAAACTCAATTTTAAGATCAAACGCTAAATTTTAGGCTTAAAACTAAAGTTCAAACTTAAAGATGAAACTTTAAGCCTAATTTTTGTCTTTTAAGCCTAAAATTGTATTTTTTAGGCTTATATTTTGATTTTAGGTTTAAAAAAGCATTTTGAAACTTGACAATTGTTTTTTTATTTTTTAGGCTTACATCTTTTTACAAACTTAAAACTTGAACGTTCAGCCCATAATTTATAGCCTTATGTAACTATAGTACGATACTATTATGTATAAAACAAGTTTTAATATTACTCATAAACTTCGACGCGTTTACCCATACTTATTGTTGTATTTTGAAAGATAAACTATAAATATAGACTCCTTCCATTGGTGTTTATTTATTTTTCTACACGCGCTTACACTTTTACATTTTTGTTTATGTAAAAGTGGAAAAAGAAAGCGGCTTACATAAGGTGGCAAAAAACCGGCTGAGCTTTTATTTTTAGGTATGAACATTTGCGTTTACTCTCTTTTAAAGGGAACTCAATTAACCTCTTACCACAATATATTATATGTTGTTTTGTTTTAAGTTCGCTCAACTTGTATTATATTAACATAACTATACCCAAAAGCCTATGTCTGACCTTTGAATCGCGTCGAGTTAGTCATAAGACTGATATGAAAGATAAAAACTAACAAACAGTTGGCCCGATCCGACTGTGATTCCAGTTCAAAGCTCTAGATTTGTGTTTATTCCAGCGATTATAACATCATTTTCGCTTTTAATTCTATCGATGGGTAGGATGTATTTTTAGATAAAGTAGGGCTAGGGTATAACATTTTTGTTGCTAATTGTAGGGCAGGGTATATTTTTAGATAAGGTAGGCCTAGGGCATGGAATTTTTTTTAAATTAAAATTGAATTGTAAGGCAGGGTAAATCTTGGAGTAGGGGTAAGATAGGGTATAACATTTTCGAAGCAAATGTTATGGCAAGGCAGATTTTTTTGTAGGTAGGGCTTGGATATGACCTTTTTTATGCAAATTTTTGGCAAGGACCATAGCTTTGGCTTTATGGATTTAGGCTTAAAAGATTAGAAGCTAGAAACCATTGTCTTGATCATTTTAGGCTTACAATGTTTATACTTATTAGGCTTAGATGTAACAGCCTAAGGTTTAGTAGGCTTAGGTTTTGTAAGCTTAATCTAGAGCTAGGGCTAGGGCTAGGACTAGGACTAGGACTAGGTTAAAGTATTAGGGTAGGGTAGAGCTTTTTTATTTTTTCTAAAATACGATTTTTTTAATTTAAAAAATTAAAAATTTCAAAAATATTCTTATTCTCAGACCGGACCTCATCTCAAAATGACACAAAATCTCATTACTTTCTTCTTACTACTTACTGTAACCACAGTAACAGCGCTAACCGAGTGCGTTGGAGCCAAGGGCAAAGTGTACTGTAATGGAGAACCGTATCCTGGAGCTCATGTACGATTGTATGATATTGATGAAGTGCCAGGTTATGGTCCAATTTCAAATTTATTGCAAATGCTCAATCCAGATGATTTAATGGAGTAAGTTACAAAAGGTTTTGGCATTTTTAAGTTTGTAAAGAAAGTTCTTGCCAGTTTTTACTTTGTAGAGAAAGTTCTTGCAGTTTTTACTCTAAAAAAAATCTTCGTACTATATGTTGCCTGAAGGGCAGAAGAGATAATTTTAAAGTTTTGACGAAATGTCACAAAAATTATTGACTATTCGACGAAGTGTCACAAATTTTATTGGATTTTTTGAAACCCTTTTTATGATAAGTTTACAGAAAATTATTGCCGTTTTTAGCTTTGTAAAGAAAGTCTCTGTCATTTTTGCTTGTAAAGAAAGTTTTTTCTATTTTTTGTTTTGTAAAGAAAGTTATTGCCATCTTTTACTTTGTAAAGACCGTTCTTGCAGTTTTTACTTTAAAATTGAAAATTTTCATACTATATGCTGTCTGAAGGGCAGAAGACATAATTTCAAGGTTTTGACGAAATGTCACAAAAATTATTGATTTTTCAACGAAGTGTCACAAAGTTTATCGAATTTTTTAAGCTGCTTTTTATGACAATTGCAAAGTATATATTTGCATTTTTTTTGTTTTGTAAAGAAAGCTCTTGCAATTTGAAACATTGAAAAAAAAGTTCTTGCCATTTTTTGTTTTGTAAAGAAAGTTCTTGCCACTATTTCATCTTTAATTTTTCTAGTCGAACCATGTCGACCGGAGAAGGCGAATACGAATTGTCAGGCTGCGCCAAAGACTTTGACTGGATTGCAATGACAAACCAAATCGAGCCCTTCATCTTCATAAATCACAAATGTAATGGCAAACGCGAAACAATGTTAATCGAGGTTGAAGTCGACCGCACCGACGACTACATGACTCCAGAATTCGATGCTGGCATCATAGAACTCAGTAATCGGCTACATTAAAACTTGTAAAATACTGTAATTATATAAATTTTGATTGTAATGTAGTATGTGCTTTTAAGTATAAAATTTTTTGTTTTGAAATTGATAAGGAGTATTAGAGGGAGGGGTAGGTAATGTTACATTAGAGAACTTTAGAGTAAGATAGGGTAGAGAAGATTAGAATAAGGCAGGGTAGGGCAGTGTAAGGCAAAGTAGGGCAGCACAGACAAGGATAGGGAAAGTTATAGAAACGTAAGACAGTACAGAATCGGATAAGGCAAGGTACAGCAGGATAGGGCAAAACAGGGAAGGATAGAGCAAGATAGAGCAGAGAACGTTAAGATAAAGCAAAGTAGGGCAGTGTAGGGCAGTACAGAGCAGGATAAGGCAGGGTAGGCCAAAACAGGGAAGGATAGAGCAAGATAGGGCAGATAACTGTAGGATAAGGCAGGGTAACGCAGGGTAAGGCAAGATATGACAGCATAGAGAAGAATAGGCTAAGATAGGTTAACTTAAGGCAAGTTCGAGCTAGATAGGGCAAGTTAACGAAGGATAGGGGCAGATAAGTCAGGATAAGGTAGAGCAGAGCAAGATGGAGCAGAGTAAGCAAACAAAGCAAGGCAAGGTAAGGCAAGGCAAGGCAAGGCAAGGCAAGGCAAGGCAAGGCAAGGCAAGGCAAGGCAAGGCAAGGCAAGGCAAGGCAAGGCAAGGCAAGGCAAGGCAAGGCAAGGCAAGGCAAGGCAAGGCAAGGCAAGGCAAGGCAAGGCAAGGCAAGGCAAGGCAAGGCAAGGCAAGGCAAGGCAAGGCAAGGCAAGGCACGGCACGGCAAGGCAAGGCAAGGCAAGGCAAGGCAAGGCACGGCACGGCAAGGCAGTTCAAGGCAAGGCAAGGCAGAATAAAAGGGTAATGTAGGGTAGGGTAAGATATTCAAATCCAATAAGTCATTGCGCAACTTGGCTAACCATTCATATAGTCAATGACAAAACTTTATTATCGCATTAGTCAAAGTTGAAAGGGATCCGCTGTGGCTTTATTAGATTACGTAATTGATCCGCGGGGTCGTGTTTATATAGGTATAAGCAGATTTCTTTACAAAAATGGCAAGAACTTTCTTTACAAAAAAAGAAATGGCAAAAACTTTATTTACAAAGCGAAAAAACGCAAAAACTTTCTTTACAAAATGAAAAATGGCAAGAACTTTCTTTACAAGGTAAAACACGACAATTTGATACAATTTTGTTCTGTAATTTTCTACTGTACCACTATATAGATTTGAAAAGACGCAACACTGTCAACCTGTCATCGATTAATTACCGTGGTAATCAATCAGCGGCACTTTTTTATTTACATTGGGATGAAGCGCTAAGCCAATTTATAATTCAAACTGGGTGGCATTACGCCATCTTGGTGTGGTTTTTATTAAATATAATAGTTTTTAATTCAAATGTTTACATTTTTTTATTTAAAAAAATGTTTTTGATATTTTAAATAGAAGTTTTGTAAAGAAAGTTCTTGCCATTTCGGTCTATAAGAGCCGGATTTTCTGTTTTGCAGCCTGCGGATGATATGTTATACGATGAATGGCTGATCTACCTTGGAAAGGAAGTTCTTGTTATTTTTTGCTTTGTAAAGGAAATTTTTGCCATTTTTTGTTTTGTAAAGAAAGTTCTTGCCATTTTCTGTTTTGTAAAGAAAGTTTTTGCCATTTTATGTTTTGTAAGGAAAGTTCTTGCCATTGTACGTTTTGTAAAGAAAATTCTCCGCCTTTTTTCCAAAACTATTAAAATTCCCACATTTTCTCTTATTAATATAGGCTTAAAATTGCATAACCTTGTAATTAATACCCGTAAAAGAGAGGCTATTAATTACTGGAAACAAAGTCTTTGCGCTGGAACGGGTCTTTCCCAGATTAGTATTATATCTTTGAGAAAAGGACGGATTTTATTCTTTTGAGGCTTGTAATTTCGCGGTAATGCTCATTTAAATTTTTAGGCTTAAAAATTACTTTGTTTTACTTTTACGCTTATAATTACAATATGTCTTAATTTTAGGTTTATATTTCCAACCTTAAATTTTTTTTGTTTTTTATTTTTCATTTTGTTTTTAGGCCTAAAATTTTTATTCTAGGCTTATTTTTTTTAGTTTTAGGCGTTGTTTTTATCTTTAGGCTTATTGATGTCTTGTATTTTAAAGTTTAAGCTTATTTCTTTTACTTTTAGGTTTATTATTTTGATTTTTTGGCCTTTGAGTTTGTTTCCAGGCTTCTTAATCTATTTTTAGTCTACTTTCTGGTTCATTCTTCTATTTATTGTTCTATTATTAGGCTTAGTACTCTACTTTTATTTCACTTTTAGGCCGATTTTTCTACTTTTTGTTCTGCTATTAGGCTTATTATTTTACTTTTATTTCACTCTTAGGCGTATTTTTCTACTTTTGTTTTACTTTTAGGCTTATTTTTTCTACTATTGTTCTATTTTAGGCTTATTTTTCTGCTTTTATTCTACTTTAAGGCCTATTTTTCTACTTATTTTTCTATAATTAGGCTTAGCGTTCTACTTTTATTCTACTTTTAAACTTATATATTTACTTATTATTTTACTTTTAGGCTTATTATTCTACTTATTCTTTTACTTTTAAGCTTACTACTTTTGACTCTAAGCCAATTTTTCAATTTTAGGTTTATTCTAGGGTTGTATCTAAAATTAAAGCTTATTTCTTTTACTTTTAGGCTTATTACGCTTATCTTTAGACTTTTATTCTACTATTCAGTTTACTTTTAGGCGTACTGTTCTACTTTTCATGCTTATTTTAAATCTTTTTTAAGCCACTCAACGATTACTGTAAGTAATTTGTGTGGTTCAATATTTGTCACACCCAGCATGACACTTATCCGATGACATTCTCGAGAAGTGACACATTTTTCGCTCGAGAGTAGCGAAATTTGGTCGCGGGCGCAGCTGGAAGCTCAGTTTTTTCCGGTTATTTAAATATTTTCACACTTGAATTGAGTGGGTATGGGTAATATTGGACATGGAATGTCAATACTTGTTGAGTGAAAAAATTTTCTTTTGTAAAGAAAGTTTTTGCTATTATTTATTCTGTAAAGAAAGTTCTTGCCATTTTTTAATTTGTAAAGAAAGTTCTTACGTTTTCAAGTTTTGTAAAGAAAGTTTTTGTTATTTTAGTTTTTGCAAAGAAAGTTCTTGCCATATTCTCATAAAAACTAGTATAGTTATGACGCATTGAGCCCTTATCGCGCGATCTGTCCTTATTCCGAGGGTTGTTTTATCGTATTTTAAAATCTGAACACTTGAGTGCTTTGCTTGTTTTATGGCCCATGATCATAAATTTTAAATAATGAATCTCGCGGGAAAAGCTTGCGCAATCAGGCTACAATAAGGTCGTTTTGGCTAGAGTGAGTTGACAAATATGGTGAGGGGGGGGAAGCAAGAGCAGGACTAGGGCTCTGGACTGGAACTATGTGCTAGGGCTTTCGGCTAGAGCTGGGAAAACAAGCTTGTATAAGTTATGGCATTTAAGTTCGTCATTCCTTTTCAAACTTACCTCATTTGCATAATCGGTAGGCTTGATTCATAAGTTCGTGGAAAGAATAAGGGAAAACTTTTTGAATTTCATGAGAAATGGGCTCTAGATTTTGGGTTTTAAATGGCAAGAACTTTCTTTCCAAATCGAAAAATGGCAAGAACTTTCTTTACAAATCAAAAGTGCCAGAAACTTTCTTTACAGTATATAAAACGGCCATTCATCGTATAACATGTCACCTGCAGGCTGCACAGTAGTGAGATGGGCTTTTTTAGAAAGAAACGACAAGAACTTTCTTTACAAACAAAAACTGGCAAGAACTTTCTTTACAAATCAAAAAATAGCAAGAACTTTCTTTACAAACTCAATAATAGCAAGAACTTTCTTTCCAAATCATAAAATGCCAGAAACTTTCTTTACAGCCCAATTCAAATCCCCTAACCTTTGTGAAGGTCTTTTCTGTAAGAGAAAACCCTTTAATTAATTGGACAAACGATCTTGAGGGTGCCCCGCCAATAACTCACCGCTCAGCTGGACACTAATTCACAAAAAAACAATTCAAAATCAGCGGGAAAAGTTGGCGACAAGGTCGTGAACTTGAATTTACCTCAATTTAAATTCTTGGGTTTTGGAAAGAAAGTTCTTGCTTTTTTTGTTTTGTAAAGAAAGTTTTTGCCGTTTTCAAGTTTAAAAAAGGTTTTCAGTGTTCTGCAGCCTGCGGGTGACAAGTTATACGATGATACATCAATTTTAGTCATTTTTTTATTTGTAAAGAAAGTTCTTGCCATTTTTTTGTTTGGTAAAGAAAGTCTTTGCTCTTTTGCTTTTGTAAAGAAAATTTTTGCCATTTTTTGATTTGTAAAGAAAGTTTTTGCCATTTTTAGTTTAAAAATGGTTTTCAGTTTTCTGCAGCCTGCGGGTGACAACTTATACGATGATACATCAATTTTAGTCATTTTTTTATTTGTAAAGAAAGTTCTTGCCATTTTTTGCAAAAAAGGTTTCTTTTTGCGGCACAATCAAAACAGTTTTATTTATAATCTTGTTAGTCATATACGATGGCGTCACGTAGTTATCTTGTATTATCCCAAAGGTCAGGTTTATTGTGGGAACGAGAAAGGACTGTAAATAAAGTTTTTGCGGAAATTGGGTAAAAATATGTTCCTATGATGTAAATGGAAGGAACTTTCGTTACAAATCTAAATTTGAAAATTCTAAGGGAAATCCAGCTCAGATGGCTTTTAATGTTCCAAACCTAAACTCAGGAGCAGGGATGAGTCCTCATGACCAAAAGACAAAGGTACTTGACCCTTTCTCCTGTTTTATGATTCCCGACTCCAGAAACTCCATAAAACGAGCGAAATCAAAGCGAAAAGGCCGCACACACATGGCCAAAAGTTATTGGACAAACATTTTTGGAGCGGCGGGATCAGCGGCTGGGAAAATAGGGCTGGATTTGCATAAAAGGGGCAGTGTTA